CTATTGAAGCTTGAGGCTTAAGGTTTGGAATATATACTTAAATATTCAAATGTTTTGTTTTTAATTCTACAAATATTATTTCCCAATACTATTTAGTAAACTGCCGATTAAATTAAAATTGAATCAAGTCAAATTTATATATTTATTATAATATATTCTCTTTATTTGTGAGTCATTTAAAATTATAAATCATTTTTTTCAGAGCAGTTGAAATACAATAAAATAAATTTAAATATTCTAAATTAAAAATCCTGTTAAATAAAACATTGAACTCTAAAACGCAAATCATAAAAAATTAAAAATGAAATATATGTAATAATATATTCTATATTTATATTCTTATATGAATATTCTATATTCTAATTTATTATAGTTCTTATTATCTTTTTCTCAAATGAAATAAATTTAACAAATCAAATTAAATAATGCAAATAATTATTATATAAAGAGGATAGAATCAATTTTTTCATTTTCGCTCTACTTACATTCAAATGAATTTCAATATTGTTGACTGACTGACTCTGAATTATATACAATTCGTGCACAACTGAGTGGAGCGATCACAATTTTCATCAACTTTAAGAAATATGCGTATCAAACATTTTCCCAATCATCTTGGCCATATTCACAAACACATTTCACTGAATAATTGCGCATTTTATATGAATATTTTTCTCAATTTGCTTGCCAGCCAGCAAATTATATAGAATTTTCGCTTTATCTATATATGTATATGTATATATATAGTAGATGTAATATTTGAAAAATTGTGCAATTTTGTTTTCAATTCGAAACAAAGTCACTCGCGACGACCAAATTGCGTTGAATCCGTTGATAAACTGAGCACCGGAAACGCGTTGACGTCGACTGCCACTTGTGGAATGGAAGCGACGAGCCGAGCCGAGCCGAGCGCAAGCCAAAGCCAAAGCCAAAGCCAGAAGGCGAATCACGAGCCTGCCCGGCACGAGGTCGAGGCGAACTTGTTGCGGCGCCAGTTCGTGTGCTGTCTCTGTGTTCGTGTGCGTGCGCTTGTGTGCGGCCAAGGGAGACACCCATACGACGCACGACGGCTGGCGAATCGAGACCTTTTAATTTCGCTCAACAAAAGTTTTGAGCGGAATGCGTGAGTGAGCTTGCGTGTCTGTGCAATTGAGTGATGGTAAGCTGAGGGCAAAGTCAAAGCTTGAGTGGAATGGAATTGAGTGCGATTGGGATGTGAGTGCCGTGAGTGGCATGTAGTGCCCCCTGTTGTTCTTGTTGTTCTTGTTATTGCACTGTTTTCCCTTATCACGTTACTCATACGCATCACACACATGCACACACAAACACACACACCGGGGGGTGGCCTATGTTGTTGTTGCTCCTTTTGGAGTTGGAGTCATGCACACCACGTGCTGCGACCCCCAACTCCCGTAGGCAGAGGGTGGGCAAACGGTGGTCGGTCGCTCAGTCGAAGTGGGCCACTGACGTTCTGATTAGCATCATTGACGTACGGTATGCGTTGGTTCTCTCCCTCTCTCTCTCGCTGTCTCGCTCGCACTCACACACTCTCACACTCAGTGACGCTCTGGACCGACTCCATGTGCTGCCTGAGTGACTGTGGCAGAGTCTACACTGTTATTATGTATTATTATCGTCTGTTTGTCTACGCTTTTGTTGTTGTTGTTGCTTATCACTGTGCTTATGTCCTTATCGAAAGGGTTTTATCGCTGATAAACTATTGTCGAGATAATAATAAAATGTTGCCAAAGAGTTTTGGTTAGTTGAAAGTTGGCCTTTATTTTGCTTCTCGGTTTTTTTTTTTTTTTTTTGCCTCAGCTATTTATATTTTGTCTTTTATGCAGTTGATGAACATGTCTGCAGGACTTTTAAAGGCGCCCCTTTGTGTGTGGACCGTAAAGTTTTTTATTGGGCTTGTAGAATTATGTTTTGCATGTCATGTATTTGCTATAGAATATATTTTATGTGACTTTAGCTTGAATCTAGCATTAATTCATATAAATTATAGCAACGATTTTGGCTTGCTTTACTTTTAGAGTGTTTCAGCACAGGATATGTCATTTATATTCTTTTGGAAACATATTTTGATTTGTGATTTTTCGGGTCTATTAGATAAAAGATAAGCTTAAAATCTAAATATTATTCTTTTATAGAAAATATTTTCCTTTATTTATATAAAACATGCAATTGTACTAATTAACAGACAAAACTGAATGAAAAACTCACCATGAAAACATTTTTAGACACATTTTCTGTTTTCTGTTTCTTTCGCTTGTTTCTGCGCTTCTTTTCAATTTCGCTTAATCTTAAAAGAATATGCCTAATGATGCTCTCCATTAGTTTAAAAACAAGTTCCGCTGTTCATTCTATATTCTTATAGATCTATTTCTATATTCATGCTCTGCTATTGGGCTATGTTTACCAGCTAAAGTTAAGTTTTATATCTGTCATCACCGAATACACACACGCACACACACTAGCCTACTTCCCATATATTGCTGCCCAGTTATTAAGCCTTCGCCAAGTACAGTACTTTATCAAGCAAATGAACTTCACCAGCTTGAAGTGCACTTTGGCTTTCGTTTCAGCTTCGGCTGCGCTGCTCCACTCGACGTGACTGTGGCTGGGGGTGAGAGTGAGGGTGAGGGTGGGGGTGGGGGTGGGTGTTGCCGGCAAATGCCTCTTCAGCCAAGTGTTGCCAAATACAAATTGACAGTTAATATTTTTAAACTAGTCAGAGCGAAGGTTTCGGGTGCGGTAGCTGTTGAGGGATGCTGCCTGTTGCCTGTTGCCTGCTGCCTGCTGCCGATGTCGACAAGGACATTATGTAAATCACAGAACGGCAGAAACGCGTTGGCGTTGACTAGTCCGTCCACCCCCCCCAGCCCGCAGACTTCAGTGCGGCCCCTTGCAGCTGCGATGTGGAAATAATAAACAGGAAAAAGACGCAGAGCAAACGAAGGCCGAGCTGCAGTTGCTCAGATATTCAGATACTTTTGGCGTGGGCGTTGCTTTTCCTCCGGTCTGCCATTTGATTATGACCAGCCAGCAGCAGCAGCAGCAGCAGCATCTCCTCTTCTTCTTCTTCTTCTTCTAGTTGTTGTGGTTGCATGTTGCTCGTCATCAACTGAGTCCAGCCCTTAACATATTAAACCGATCATTGCACTCGACATCTCAAACAAAAAGTTGAGCAAACAAATACAATAATAACTCGCTGTGCATGGAATGCCTTTCGGGTCTTTCCCGGTCGCGAACTGCTAGACGGTTGTTTGCTTGGCCTGTCCTGATTGTAAGCCAATTGTAAGCCATAAGGTTTATCTGCGGTCTTGTGAGATTTATAAAAATATACTATATACAGAAAACTAGGTGCAATTCAGAGAGCGAAAATCAATAAAAGAAATATTCACTTACAAATAAATTCCTGTGTGTAAATGTGATTTTCTTTTTCTTATTATTTAAGGTGATATTTAAATTTAAATTTTTTAGTTTTTGTTTAATTATTTAATTACTTTATTTATTTATTTGTGAAGCATTTATTTGTGGCTGTCTCTTTCAATACTAATTTTCAGCTTTGTCAAGTCCTCCCTCTTTATTTTTGGCTGTTCTTCTTTCTACCTCTGCCCCTATCGTTCACTACTTCTATTTCTGTTTTCATTTATCTCCTTTCTCTCTTTTTATCTGTCTCTCCTATTTCCATCTCCCCTCTACATTTCGCCTTTTCTAGTATGCCTTAATTTATCTCTTCCTCTTCACTTATATCTCTTTCTTGCTATGTCTCTCTCTTTATCTTTCTCTCTCGTGCTCTGCCTCTCTCCTTCTGTCTCTCTCGCTCTCTGTCTCTCTCTCTCTCTGTCTTTCTATCTTTCTGTGCACATCTTCTTCAAATACATTTTTCAGTTCTTGCTATCTCTTACTCTATCTCCGTCTAGTTTTCACGCCTCTCCGTTCGCTCTATTATTCTCATTACTCTACATGCCCTCTCCCTTTCTCACTGAAGTAAGACTCGAGAGATTGTAATAAAACTTTCATATTTTGATTACACGAATTGTGCTCAGATTGTCTACAGGTGGATTTAAATAGATTCCTAAAGTTACTTAAGCTCTACCTACAATAAAAGGCATATTTCACTGGCTTTTCACATTGTTTATCCTTCATTACTAAGCCGAATATAAACAGTCAGCCTTACAGAAAATAATGTTGCTTCTGCACATGATTTACAAAGCAGAAACAAAAAAATAAGTAAATGAATTACAAAAAACTTGTTCCTATATAGAAAATCGCTTCAATCCCAAATAGCTTCACATTATTTAATGGTTGTCTTTCAAGAACAGATCTAGGCTTCTAATACAAACTCAGTGACCGGGGCGTTAGTAACCGCCTCCTGGTAACCGCAACAGCGTGTCAATCAAAACGACCCGAACAGGGCGTGGCGTCAAAAGAGGGGGAGGCCAGTCGCTCCGGCTTTAATGCAATCAAAAAGCTGCTCTACGCTGCTCTACCCGAGCAGCATATTTAAGCAGGCAGCTTAAAAGCGTTTAACGCACACAAATTTAATCATGAGACAGGACTACAGGAGCTCGACCCCCAGCCCGAGGGGAATTGAGCGGCGTTTAGCTGGGTAAAAATCACACCCGCGGTTATTTCAAATGCTAAAAACATGGCAAAATATTATAAGGCAATAATAAAAGAATGAAAAAAACATAAGAATATATACAATATATATATGTATGCATATATATACGAGCCCAAACCACTATTAATTCGAACAGCATGTTTTTTTTGCAGTGCGCAATGTTTAACACACTATATTGTCAATACTACTAAAGATAACACATACCAATGCATTTCGTCTTAAAGAGAATTTTATTCTCTTCATGATGAAAAAAAAAATAATGCTCTCTTTCCAACAACAACAAAAATATGAGTAATTTA